TAAGCCAAAGTCAACAAATATGTTTCACACAAATGAATATACCCTTTATACTCCAAAATGAATGTAGACAAAGGAATGTTGAAATGTGATGATAAAATGGATATCAGGGAGATAACTGAAAGGACTATAAGGAAAGACTACAAATACAAAAAATGTAGTTAATTCCCACATGTTGATATGATGGCAGCTTGGAAGTAAGTCAGGAGTCTTGAGCATCTGCCTCCAAATTGTATAAACTAGGGGTACTTGATGTTTTTCATTTTTATTCTTCCTTGTTTTGTTAGGCTAATGTTAGCAAAGCACACCTTGTTTTGCTGGTGATAAATTGGAAGGTCAAATTGAAAGTTAAAACCTTTGGACATCCCAACATAGAGAATAAAGACAGGACGAGAGGTGAGAAGCATACACACGTTTTAAGACAATGCCTGGATCTTATCTCTACAAGGTGCCTTGTTTGTTCATGGCTTACAGGCAGAAGCTATAGATAATGTTCTAGTAAAAAAATAGATTTATAAAATTTATTTCTGATTAGACATATGTATGGGGTACAGAGTTGACTATCAGTATTTGTGTACATTATATGATAATCAAATCAATATTATTAGCATGTTCATCATTAAAAATCCTAATTACTCTGTGTCTAATCCCAATTACTCCCAAACTCTTCTCCCCCTTCCCCTTTCCTGTCTCTAATAACCGTAGATCTGTTCTCTCCTTCTGAAAGTTCAAAGTTTTATTGTGGTCTTTCTTTCTGTCTGTCTAAAAAAGAATTAATTTTATAGAGGATACTTATTGACCATTTATTAAGAGCTTTACAAAGTTTAAAAGAAATCCAAGGTATACACAAAATTAAAAATGACACTTAGAAATGCCAGGAAATTGATGTTGTGTATTCCCCCCAAAACACTTTCTGGCTAATTCTATTCTCTGGTTTGGATCAGTAAGCCATTATCACTAGGTGTTTTGCTATTCTCTTAAGTTATAAGTCAAAAGCAGTAATACAAAATGTGAAGATTAGGGAAGAGAGTATAAAAAAAAAACACAATTATAAGATTTTGAATAATTTAATACTACAGTGAAAGGGAATCCAGATTGGAAAAGACAAAGTCAAACTTTCCCTATTTACAGATGAGATGATACTATATATAGAAAAACCTAAAGGCTCTATCAAAAAATTCCTAGATCTGGTTAATAACTTCAGTAATGTTCTAGGATACAAAATAAATGCCCCTAAATCAGTTCATTTATGTACTCAAATAATGAAATAACTGAAGAAGAAATAAAGAAGTAAGCCCATTTACAATTGTCAGAAAAAAAAAAGACAAAAAAAAAAAAAAACCTAAGGATCAGTTTAACCAAGGAAGTGAAAGACCACTACAATGAAAACTACAAACCACTTCTGAAAGAATTAAATACACAAAAAGATGGAAATATATTCCATGCTCTTGGATTGGAAGAATTAACATTGTGAAAATGTCTATACTAACCAAAGCAATCTGCAGATTAGATGCAATCTCCATCAAAATACCAATGACCTTCTTCAGAGAAATGTAAAAAAGCAATCTTACCTTTCATATGGAACATAAAAAGACCCTGAATAACCATAGAAATCCTGAACAAAAAAAATAAAGCCAGAGGCAAAATACTACCTGACTTCAAATTATACTACAAAGCTATAGTAACCAAAACAGCATGGTACTAGTATAAAAATAGATATTCAAATCAATGGAGTAGAACTGAGAACCCAGATATCACCCCTCAGGGTTACAGCCATCTGATATTGAACAAAGGCAACAAAAATCTATAATTGGGAAAAGACTGCCTCTTCAACAAGTGGCGCTGGTAAAACTGGATATCCACATGTGGAAGAATGAAACTAGATGTGCATATCTCACCATACACTAAAATCAACTCAACATGGATTAGAGGCTTAAGTATAAGACATGAAACAGTAAAATTACTAAGGGAAAAAAAAGGTGAAACACTTCAGCAACTGGGTCTTGGCACAGGCTTTATGAACACGAGCCTGAAAGTACAAGCAGCAAAAGAAAAATAAAGAAATGGGACTATATCAAAGTAAAAAGCTTCTGCACAGCAAAATAAATAATTAACAGAGTGAAATGGTAACCCACAGAGTGGGAGAAAATTTTTGCTAGCTATGCATTGGACAAAGGATTAATATCCAGAATATACAAGGAACACAAGCAATTAAAGAGTGAAAAAACAAATAACCCAATTAAAAATTGGGAAAAAGAGCTGAAAAAACATTTTTAAAAGGAAGACATGCAAACAGCTCACAGGTACATGAAAAAATTATCAACATCACTAGTCATCAGGGAAATTCAAATTAAAACTACATAGAGATACCACCTCACCCCAATTAGACTGGCTATAATCAAAAAGACGGTGAATAACAAACGCTGATGAGGGTGAGGTGAGAAGGGAAGACTCCTACACTGTTGGTGGGACTGTAAATTAGTACAACCATGATGGAAAACAGTATGGAGGTTTCTCAAACAACTACAGATAGATCCGCCATATGATCCAGCAATCCCACTACTGGGTATATAACCAGAGGAATGGAAATCATCTTGTCCAAGGGATACCTGCACTCCTATGTTCAACACAGGTCTGTTTGTAATAGTCAAGACATGGAACCAACCTAAATGTCCATTGATGGGTGATTGGATAAGGAAACTAGGGTATATATACACCATGGAACAGTACTCTGTCATAAAAATGAATGAAATTCTCCCATTTGCAACAACATGGATGAGCCTGGAGAAACTTATGTTGAGTAAAATAAGCAAAGCACAGAGGGATAAATACTGCATGTACTCACTCATATGTGTGAGCGAAGAGAGAAAGAAGGAAGGAAAGAAAGACCATAGTGGTGTGCTGGACTTGCAGAGGGAGAGAACATACTCTGGGGTACAAAGTGGAGTTGCGGGGGCGGGGGAGGGGAAAGCGGGAGTTGGGGGAGGTTGAGGATAATTGGGTGGGGACATGGGGTACAAATGCAATTTGTGGTAATGGATATGCTGCCACTATGAATCTGGCCCTCACAACATGGGCACACGGAGTGACAATCAGCTTTTTATCTCATGAATCTTCATAATAATAAATAAATAGATAAATAAATAAATAATTTAAAAAGTAAAGCTATAGTGATCAGTAATAAAATAGTCTCCTTTGTAAAGAAATAAACTGTCTTTCCTGTAAAGTGTGCAAGAAGAGGTTAAATGTACACTGATAGTGGAGAGTTGGGGAAATAAAAAATAATACAAAGAAAAAAATGTAAGATGCATAATCCCACAATTTATTGATAATTATGATTAAGATGAAATGAATTGCCTGTGCTATTCTTTACCATCATTAAATTTGTATTCATTAAGTTTCTGAAAAATACAAATTTTGTTCTTCCTTTTGTAGCTGAGATTAAGATCTGAGATTAAGATGTCTCAAAATGATTTTCCAGAACACAGTTTTTAATTGTTATGTAACATTGTGTCAAATAGAAAATAACCAGCTGCTACAGAGGCCCCTGCATTGTGAGCAGCAGCTCTGTGGGAACCAGTGAGATATCATGCCACCCCAGTTAGAAAGGCTAATATCCAAAAGACTGAGAAAAACAAAAGATGGTGAGGATGTGGAGAAAAGGAACCCTCCTACACTGTTGGTGGGACTGTAAAATGGTGCAGCTTTTATGACAATGGTATGGAGGTTCTGCAAAGAACTACAGATAGATCTGCCATATGACCTAGTTATCCCACTTCCATGTTTATTGCAGCTCTACTTACAATAGCCAAGAATTGGATTCAGCCTAAATGCTCATCATCCGACGAGTGGATAAGGAAAATGTGGTATATGTACATAATGGAATACTACTCTGCTATAAAAAAATGGACTACTGCCATTAGCAGCCACATGGATTGACTTAGAGAAAATTATGTTAAGTGAAATAAGCCAGGCACAGAAAGAGAAATACCACATGTTCTCACTTATCTGTGGGAGCAATAAAATAAATAAATAAATAGACAAATAAATAGAAAAAAGACACAGCAATCACAATAATTCCTTGAACTTGTTAAGAGAAAAGATATGATGTTGATGGGGGTGGGAAAAGGGGGCAAGGAGGGGAGAAAAAGAGGAATTGGTAAAGGGCTCTGAGGATCAATTATGTTATATAATGGTGAATAAAAAATAAATTTAAAAAAATTGAAAAAAATGAGCTGGCAAATGAATTTGAATTTCAGCTCTGAAACTTTGTTACTGAATGATATCAGATTTATGACGGCAAATAACTGTGTCTGAAATTCCCCCATTTACACGTTAAAGAATAAAAGCTAGGAAAAATAAAAGAAAATAATATCATGAATAATCTCATTAAAAATAATCACTGTGAACGTGAATAATTCGGGATCAACTGAGTATGCAGTCTCCACCCTCTGTGACTCCTTTCTAAAATTGTGCCATCTGATTTTTTACCACTCTAAGAGACCCAAACTCTAACCTCAGTCTCCTCAGTACAATAATACTGATTCTCTCTTTTGGGGCTCTAATTATGTAGTCCTTACCCTGCATAACTAGAAAGGACACTAGGGGAAAGCCTAGGAATGCAATAGCCGTTAAGAAATTTAACTCAATGTCATAGTTTTTTTCAATTCCCCCTCGTTTGGTTGGTGTACAGTGTTAATCAGTTTTCTTTTCTGTGTTTATGTATAGTTGTTTATTTGGGTCAGGCTGTGTAATTATCCTCAGTGAGTACATTTTTCCAATGCAGAAACCAGAGTCCCAAGACTGATTTTGAGAAACACAACTGATATTAATGTTGACATGCAGGTTTCATGCACCACTAAGGCCTGTAATATTGTAATATTTTACAATTTTTAAAATGCACTAAGTCAAAATAAGCTTTCCTTTTTTTTTTTAAACCCAAAGCTAAACTTATTATTTCTGGTTTGTATTTAATTACATTAGGTAGAACTTTCAGAATATTTTATGTCATAGGTGATAGTGTGAATCAGTTTCATACTCTCACATGTCACTCTAAAGAAATAAACTGTCTTTCCTGTAAAGTGTGCAAGAAGAGGTTAAATGTACACTGATAGTGGAGAGTTGGGGAAATAAAAAATAATACAAAGAAAAAAATGTAAGATGCATAATCCCACAATTTATTGATAATTATGATTAAGATGAAATGAATTGCCTGTGCTATTCTTTACCATCATTAAATTTGTATTCATTAAGTTTCTGAAAAATACAAATTTTGTTCTTCCTTTTGTAGCTGAGATTAAGATCTGAGATTAAGATGTCTCAAAATGATTTTCCAGAACACAGTTTTTAATTGTTATGTAACATTGTGTCAAATAGAAAATAACCAGCTGCTACAG